AACCAGAAAAGCACTGAGCTTGGATTAAGTATAAGATCAGGTGAGGAGGGGAAGGCCTTTGAGTGTACGCATTGCATTATCTGTAATAAAGTCCAACAAACGTGCAAGCACCTGACACTGTAGACCAGAAATACCCTGCAAAATTCCCTAGAAACAAGGGACGGTAAATGAAAATCTAGCAATCAACACTATTCTTATTTCTAAAAGTATCACATTTTCTCTTTTTTGTAGTAAAAAACAAACCTATATAACAAGCATTTTTATGGGAATCCTCCTTACTTGTGTCCAACCCACTTTTTCCACAGTCTTATAGACAGTATCTCAAAAGAATGAGCTTCAGAAACACTACTTACTGCTCTGCTTAAAAGCCCTTTGGAACCAAAGATCTTTTTTAAATTACAATCAAACTTACTTTCCATGCTTTTTGCCCCTTAGTTTTTCAGCTTCCAATTTAAGGACTTAAGTTCTGAGAGGCTCCACTCAACCCTTTCTAAAGACAACACCATCCTTTTGAGTTGCTGAGTCTGGATACAGAACATAAATAGAGATACAGTTAAACTTAATGAAAAGGTTCCCTTGTAGTTCCTGTGACTACATTCATGACCCAGACTACTGCCTAGATTTTCAATGATGCTATCTCATTCTTGCCCACAGTGTACCATGTCCATTTCTAGATTTTTTTTTCCTTTGTCATACAAGCAGCTAGGGTTTTCTATCTTACATCTGAGCTTAAAATAACTTCCTACCAAAATCATCTTATTCTCCTGTGACTTTCTTTTTTATATTAGTTAAGGCTATTCTTCGCTCTAATTCCACTTTTCAATGTATACTTTCATATAAAAAGTGACAAAATTATTTTATTTAAATATTAAATAATGAATGTTACATTACTCAGTGATTAAGCCCTAGCAACTTCACTTTAATATTCAAATATGGTTATTTCCAATTACAGGCAAGAAAAATGATTTAACAGCTTGGTCCAGCACCAACAGAATAGCCACAATTGGGGCAAAACATAAAAAGTTTGTGCACACATCACAACAGAGGCAATTTTCTGTGTTTTCCTGCAGCCTAGTCAGTTCAGTCGCTCAGTCATGTCCGACTCTTTGTGACCCCATGGACTGCAGCACGCCAGGCCTCCCTGTCTATCACCAACTCCTGGAGTTTACTCAAACTCATGTCCATTGAGTCGGTGATGCCATCCAACCATATCATCCTCTGTCATACCCTTCTCCTCCCGCCTTCAATCTTTCCCAGCTTCAGCCTACCTACTTCCATAAGCATTAGATGAGTACTTAGCATCTTTAAAGAAATCTGGTGTCTTCTCATCTACTTAGTACAGGATGGGAGAAACATTCAAATTCAACTACAACCAACAGTTACTACCCACACAGCCCAAGTCCTCAACTCATATCCATTCACATTCATCTATTCTTGGTGTTGCGATAATAGTCATTATAAGAGACACTGGTAGGTCCTATAGATTCTGAAGCTCTCTAATGTACTAACATCTCGTTTGTACTCAATAACAACATATTCAACGGTAAGAAGATAGCCCGTTTTACTTATCCACATGACTGATCTGATCAATCGTACAAGGCATTGCATTTACACATTTAATCCTGAAAAAACTCCAAATGGACTTGACTAATGTAAAGAAGTTTGGGGCATCTGAGAAGAATCAAATCCATCTGTCAACTCATATATCCTCAAGGACAGAGATTCTACCAACACAAATCCACACGTGAAATACCAAGTTGTAAACAGTTTTATGTAAACAGTGTAAACGTTTCCATGTTCTCAAGCTTTAAAAGGTAACCAAGTATGAATGTGGACATCTTCATCTTCCCTGGCCCCCAATAAAATCTATTCTCAGAGCAGCTAGAGTGGCCCTTTTAAAATGTTAGACACAACTGGCCATTCTTGTGCTCAAAACCTTAAAATGATTTTCCACCACACTCAAGAGTTCATATGAAAATCTTTACAATGATCAAGACCTCACGTGGCCTGACCCACTCCAAGACACCCCAACCTCCAGCTCTCTCCTCTCCCTCCCACTCCCCCCTCTCCTTTCCACTGTGCTCCAGCTCCAACCTTGCTGCTCCCCCAAATTTCAATCATGTTCTTGCTTCAGGATCTTTCTGTACCTGATATCCCCTCTCTCTGGTGCTGGCTTGAATATAGTCAGTGAAGCCCTCCCAGACCATTCTATTCAAAAGAGCAATGCTCTATTCTTTTTCTTTTTAAGCACAGCACTTCTTTACCATCTGCTATACCTTCTTACTTACTCATTTATAGCCTGCTTTCCTTGACAAGAAGGCAAACTCCACGAGGACAGGCATTTTTATCTGTTTTACTCACTCCTATATCCCAGGACCCAGAGCAATGCTCAGCACAAAACAGATAATATACAGAGACAAAATCAATGATGCTAAATAGCATCTGTTTTCCTGTGCCTTCCCACTAGCACGTAAGGTCCATGATTGTACAGGGATTGATATTGTCCATTATATGGAAATCTAAAACAGATTTCAGTATCTAAAACACCACCAGCACATAGCTGGCACTCAACAAATATTTACTAAGTGAATCTTCATCCCATTCTTTTGGCAGAGAACAGAAAGAAAATTTCAACTCATATTCACATGTTCTCAACATGTTGCTTGGCTCTGAAATAATATAATCCAATGAGAAGTGAATCATCCCCATTTCTACTTTAGAAATATACATACCTTTATTTTGTACATAATCTAAAGTGCAATTAAAAGCCAAAAATGATAGGCAAAGATTAATGAGGAAACATCAGTGTTTCCTTGGTGATAAGGAATAGACTTTCACAGTACAAAATTGTCCAATTATACAATGAAAACCAATTCCCTTTCATGTTTCCCCCAAATTTTTCTTCTCCCATGTATCATTAAAGGCTTTCCTGAATAGAGACTTTTAGTCCTTTCTTTCTCTTCCCCACATTGAAGCTAATTCATAACACAGTTATATAACATTTACTCGACAACTATCTAATACAATAAACACAAAATTTTTGTTGTTGTTTCCTTTTGCTCTAAACTCCGGCATACTTAAAAATGAGGATGGTAAAAAAGACTGTGGATACTAAAACAAGTGTGAAATCATCAAAATGAGCCTCTCTTTCTTAGCATCAGCAAACACTCTTTGTTTGGGCAGAGATGCTATCAACTCAGAGAGATAGAAGTCAAGGCAGAAACCACTGCAGTGCCTCACTGGTGATCAGGACAAAGTCCCTCCAGTCAAGCAGACTAATCAGAAAACACAAATACCATGAGGTCCTTCACCCTTACTGTGATTACCGGAGGCAAAGCCGGCAGGTCAGCAGCTCTATACATTCACTCTCTGACCCCTCTTGAGCTCAGTATACTGGGTCAAAATGGACTACCATTCACTTTAAATCTAGGGCGACTGATCTATAGCTTTACCTAGTAACACAGATAAATCCATGGGATGAACTCGCCACTTGTCAAGGCTAAGAATTACAGTATTCCTTTTGAAAATGTCCAGTTAATTTTAAAATGTAGAGAGGTCAGCATATTGCTCCAAAAAAGGTTAAGAGCCTACTGATTGTGGAACTGGACTCAAGGCTGAAACTCATATATAACAGCATCTGAGAAAAATAATTTCAGTACCTGCTTACACATCATAATATAAGGTCTAGAAGGCAGGAAAGAAAACATGTGAGAAGACCGGAAGCACAGCCATCCTAGGCAGATACATCCAGAGAATTCTCAAACCACTAAAACACCACAGGGCAGCGCTAATCTTCACATGGTCCGTGCAGCCCTCTGGCCACAGAGGTGCTTGGGAGTCAGCAGCTGAGTGCTAAGGATGGGACCCAGCATCAGGCTCTGCATCTCTCACCCCAATACGAATCAAGAGGCAACTGGGATGTTGAGATTCTGCAAAATCTCATTTACAAAGAATTGGGGGGGGGGGGGGCAGGGAAGGGTACTGCTTAAAAGATGTCTGAAAACCAGAATCAAGGACCTCAGAGCAAGGAGACCAGAGTTCAGATCATAAATTTGAGGACTGAGCAACAGACATAATCCTGCCAGGCAAAGAATCAGTGATCAGTAAGTGGTAACAATTGTTATTTATCAGAGAGCTGTCATAGAAGGTATTAAAGAAGTGACCCTCGAAATACACAGCCTAAAACCATGTAACTATGATGTGACAGTACATAACATTTATTTGATCAACTCATCCTTTGGCCAAATATAAAAATACTCCTTATGAATCCACTTTATTCTTTAGGAAGTAAAGATGTAGTACCTGGGAACCAAAAGTTTTTCAAAGACCAATCACAGAAGAAAGGAAGCGGGGAGGGATGGGGAGTAGGGAAGGGTGGAGAGAGGAAAGGAAGGAAGGAAAGAAGGAAGAAGGAAGGAGAGGAAGAGAGAAGTGAGGAAGAAAATGTGAAAGAAAAACAGCTCCAAAATATGCAAGGCAATTACAAAATGAAAACACATGCTTGTCACTACTGAAGAATATTCAAGAATTTCAAGATTCATAAATACTTCATTATACGTTTAAATAATTTGTGAGTGAGATTTTCTTAAAAACTACCAATAAGGTACAATGACTGTGGAGAAAATCACAACCGACTTTAAATGGGGCGACATACTCAAAACCAAATTTTTTTTAAATTTTCGACTGCTACAGCAATTCACACAATGTGTGACTACATCTGCTACATTAAAACGAGAGCCTCTAACAGTAAAAGGCCCTGGTGTCTTAGAACAGCTCCCCTTTCAGGCTTCCTCAAAAATCATGGCAGAAGCCGAGGGTCAGACTTAGGGGAGAAAGAAGCAAGGCCAGCTGCCCTCTGTGATCCCCTGCAGCCTGGGCTAAAAGAAACCTGAATCACTCTGTTAGGGTCATCACCACCACCGGGGAACCTCCCCCAGTCACAACACCTGGACCAATGGAAGACGCGACAGCCACTGGCTCTCAGAGGGATGGAGCCTCACCTGCTTGATTTTGTTTCGGGAGTTGGTGATGCGCTCTGTGATGCTCTGGTAGGTGCGGATGGCAGTTGTCAGTTCTGTGTAGTGCCGTACAATGAGTTCATCCAGGTCACGGTCACACCTCTCATAGGCTTCTTCGAGACGCCCCTTCTCGTTTTCTCTGTCTTCAACATCATCACTGGTAGACAGGGTCCTGTTTAAGACAGAATGTATCAGGCTGAGTCAAACTTAAAAGCTGAAAGTAGAAACAAATAGAGTTAAGTCAGTGAGGGTACATGCCCCTAGGAAATGAAACAAGTTATTAAGGGAAGACATGAGACATTTGGGTGGTAAATTCCAGTAGCCTAGTAAGTGGATTTATATGTTTTCTAAATAAGGAATCTTCCCCTTCACTTTTCCCCTTGGCATGATCAGGAAAGAGGCGGCATGAACTCTGTAAGAGCCTGGGCACGTCTCCATTTGTTTGAATGAATCCTAGTATGTGCATGTCCCTTATCAGTGACAAGTCTGACCAATAAGACCTAAGGACTTCTAGGAGTAGTTTCCTTCCAAGAAGATTAACAGGAAGCAAGTTCCTCTTCCCAACACTGGGTATTGTTATACAAAGCTCAGATAATCATACATTAGCCATGTGATAATCCTAGAAGGAAAAGCCAGGAGAAACGCCAAGCTACTGCCATCACATCATTGGGCCACCAAAGTGGCCAACCCACAGCAGCCTCACCCCAGGACTCCTTGTGAGGCGAGCTAATAAATATCCATTGCTGATGTCACTTTCACTTGGTCTTTTATAACAGAGCCAAAAGCATACTTACTGTAAAACTGCTTCTACACTGAGGAACTGCCTTCCAAATTACCTGAATTTGGTTCAGAGCCCCCAGCGACCCAGAAATAAGGTCATGGTAATTCTAAAAACCATTACAACAGCAATAATATCAGCTATCCTACCAGACAGCCCCTGCATTTACTATTCTTCCAACAGCACTAACAAGATTGATATGAATCAACAATAAGCAGCGAGTGAGATAGATACACTTATTAAAAATCTTTCAATAACTTAGTTTGATACATGGGCACAGAGCTTTGTTTCCTCTATTATCCTTCTTGAGTAATTTTTTTTTAATTAAGTGTTATAATCAGTAACAAAGAAACCTTTTCCTCTTATCTCTTGGCTGCCGTAATTTCGCTCCATTAAATTCCCTCAGATTTGTCAGCTTATACATTCAGCATACTTTATTTCATTTATCTTTTTTAATTTAGGGAGGGGGTAGTTTAGGCTTTCTGTGATGGATGCAATCAATTATAAAGTCCATCATTAGAACTGCTTTCGGAGATGGTCTGTCAGCAAATCAATCACCTATTCCCTTCCAGATTTTTGTAAGCAAACTACTGTAAAACAGTCTTTTTCCAAACTGTCATTTAGAGCAAAAGATCTTAATTCATGAGTCACACAATTTACAAAACAATATCTTCCAATTTAGAGGGAGATTCAGCAGGCCAGTCTGATACTAATCTAACCTCTAAAAAGAATTTTGTAAATGTGTTAAGGGATGTCAAGAGATGATGTCCAGCATGAAATGGGGGAACAGGAGGGACAGAAATGGAATGAAGCAAAAGGCACCGCTTGGGGAGGGAGCGGTACCGGATACACACTGGGAACCCCAAGACTTGAAATTCCCATGCCAGATCCTGTGTCCTCCTCTGTCAACTGGTAAGCCTACACCAGACTACCTCGAAGCTTACTTCCAGGAAGAAAATAATACACAAGCATTGAGCTAATTAAGCAAATCAGAGTAGAGACCTTGGGGTGGGGGGGGGGTGGAGTTTTGGTTTCAAAGATAGAGCAACCAGTATTACTTGCAATATTTGGGTACAGGGTGGCTGAGCATGTCATCATGTTGTTTCTATGATACATAACTTTGCTCTTTAAATCTGAAACCTTCCAGGCTGTTAATCTAGAATAAAGCACAATCAGAAAATGCCTTCAATTTATCAACTGTCCCAAAGGGAAGCGCTCCTAGATATTTAACTATTAGTTCCCCCTGTTCGCAGCAAATGGCCACAGACTTTTTTCAAAGCTACACTCAGTCAGTTTGCCATCTTTATGAGGCTTTGCAGGATTTCCTCCCCACCATCTGTGGAAGGAAACATGCCAAGCATTTGACATCATTCACATTTACTAGTACAACTACCATCAGGGAAAATGTTGGGCTGAGAGACCATCTTCGTGGGCATCAGCTGTCACTGTAACACATCACCACACATTAGGAATGATTCAGAAAACCAAAAGGGTTACTGAAATGAAGATGAGAATAAACTGGGTCTCAGTGAGCTTCAGTTCCTATGTTCATTTTCAGAGAAAATATCTGTATAAGGAAATAGCCTGTGCCATGTTTTGCCCCTACATCCAAAATTCATCCTCTAGATGTAAACTGGGCTGAATGACATTTGCCTTTAGTCAAAAATTTCTTGCATAAGAGCACTCTGAGAGGACAAAACCATTCAAGTTTTGTTTGTGCTTTGGGATCTGTTTGTTTACGTGGACCATTTTTGAAGTCTTTATTGAATGTTACAATATTGCTCCTGTTTTATGTTTTTTGANCATTTGCCTTTAGTCAAAAATTTCTTGCATAAGAGCACTCTGAGAGGACAAAACCATTCAAGTTTTGTTTGTGCTTTGGGATCTGTTTGTTTACGTGGACCATTTTTGAAGTCTTTATTGAATGTTACAATATTGCTCCTGTTTTATGTTTTTTGACCTTGAAGCATGTGGAATCTTACTTCCGCAACCAGGCATTGAACCCAAGCCGCCTGTACTGGAAGTGCAGAGTCTTAACCACTGGACTGCCACAGAAGTCCTTAAAAAGTGTTTTGTTTTTTAATTAGAGAAAAGGGAAGCAGCAATAATAGCCACTAATATCTAGAGAGGCTGCACATTTTATAAAAAGTATGTTCAATTCACAGAACAACCCACTGAACTGGGTCCTGTTAACATACTTCCTCTCTCTTTTCACAGATGCCATAGCCGAGATTTAAGACGGTAAATCTGCCCCATCTCAGACAATGAGGGTAAGGGCTAGGGTGTGCCTGTATGCTCACTGCTCACTCGTGTCCGACTCTTTGCAACCCCGTGGACTGTAGCTCACCAGACTCCTCTGTCCATGGGATTTCCCAGGTAAGAATACTGGAGTGGGTTGCATTTTCCACTCCAGGGGATCTTCCTGACCCAGGGATCACACCCGAGCCTCTTGCCTCTCCTCCAACGGCAAGTGGATTCTTCACCACTGCGCCACCTGGAAGCCTAAGGGATAGTACAGGAATTCAAAACCCACATCAGTCTGTTTCCAGATTACGCTCCTGTCTCCTACAGATTGGTGGGCGACCCTGGAATCAAACTGCTTGGGTTGGAACCCAGGCTCCACCGCTGCTGCCCACATGACCACGGTCACAGTATCTCCTTTTGCGTACCTATAAAATGGAGATAGTAAGTATACCTTCCTTATGGGGTTGCAGGTGAGAATTGGATGAAATTAAACAAGGCCTGGCATATCACTAGCACTCCATAAAAAAGGTTGGTGGCTGCCATTGTTATAGTAATAGTAGTTAACTGTAATAAAGGCAGTAACAGTTTTCCACAATGTCACAGAAAGGACATCCTTTAGAGACAAAGGTTCAAACTCCCGCACCCCCAAATACTGGATCATTAGGCTCTGGGAGAGGCCTGACCTCCCTTTCACTTTACTTCTCCTTAATATCAAGAACTGTGAAGAGTCTGAGCCTTTATTCTACTCAGAAGCTAACAAGTTGGCCTGCCACAGTTTCGTGGATGCTGGGAGAAGTCACAAAACTTCTGGGTGGGTCAGAAGCTAAGGACTTCATTAGTCATAGCACAGCAAGTAGCAAGAGCATCAGCATGTTTGTAGCAGACCGCTTGCCCCCGAGCCCCATGGGCAGTGGGAAGATGGGCCCAAATGGAAGCCTGCTGAGTTGCTGAAGAGGACTCTGAGCTTTGAAAACTGAATTTTTTACACTAGACAGTAAACATGCCTGCCATTTGTTCTGGAGGGAAAAATTATCTCTACCTTCTAAACAGGTCAAACAAACATCCTTGAGAGTCTAAAACAAAGGCCACCCATACTTTGCTCACAAGAACCTCAGAAACACAACCTTCCCAAGGAGAACTGTCCCCCAACAAAAATGAAACCTAATTGATTGGGTTCCTCCAGGGACTGCACAGTGTCGAGCAATAGTCGACCATTAACAAAGATTCATTTCCAACCTGTTTTCAACAAAATGAGGCCAGAAATACAACACCTCACACATTAAATATCTGCAAAATGAATGACTGACTGACCATAAGAGCAGACTAATTCTAGGGAGAGAGTCCCCACACATGCTCCTGAAACCCAGCGAATTTCAGTGTGGAATTATCCTGCTTTAAGCGGGTCACCTGACCTGAACTGAGAGCAGGATGGAAAAGAAGGCTTGTGATTGAGCTCACCCTGCCAGCCAGGTCAGGAACCTCTCCTCAGCCTGCTAAGCCTCTGGGTAAAGAAAAGATCACTCGCTCACAAAGCCACTCCCCACAATTCTGAACTGCTCTACTTGCTACAAGGTCTTTCATTAAAATAAAATCCTCCTCTTTGTAATTTCTAACCATTGATGCTGGGGAGAAAAAGAGTGAAAGTGTTATTCACTCAGTCCCGTTGGACTCTGCGACCCCATGGACTGTAGTCCGCCAGGCTCCTCTGTCCATGGGATTCTCCAGGAAAAAATACTGGAATGGGTTGCCATTTCCTTCTTCAGGACCCTTCCCGACTTAGGGATAGACCCCAGGTTTCCTGCATTGCAGGCAGATTCTTCACCCACTGATCCTAGTTCTGCCTTTTTCAGCATATTCCCTCTTTTATGTAGTCTTTCTTTAAATAGTAAAGGATTATTTAATACTTTCTCACGTTCAATAGCTCCAGTTTCTTCATCCATTTCTTCTACAACATGGAAGCCCACCAGCCTTGTTAATTTCTTCTGAAGTCCCCTCGAAAACAAGGGACACTCACAAATAGGACTTACTGCATTACTCTCTGTGGTTTATACATATTAATTTATTCCAGACAACAACCTGTGAAGTAGGTACCATTGTTCTCTTTTTACATATGAAGAGTCAGAGTTGTGCATTTGAGGCACAGAACTTTT